AAAGAAAATTTTATTATTATTACTTATTACATTTACGTAAAAAAAAAAAATTAAAAATATTATTAGAGCATACTAATAAAATTCTATTTTATTTAATTATCGATTATGTTTTTGGTTTCTAGGATAGAACAGAGCTCTGGATTCAGAGTAGGTCGTGCGAAACAAGATTGAAGTATTCACTTCCATGTTCATTGCGATGTGACAACACAGGTTTCTTGTGTTCCTTTGAAATTGTTACATCACAAGCAACATTTATTTCGTAGAATCGTTCTAGTTTTTACTGTTACAAACACATATAATGGGACTAGGAATTTTTCGATGGAAGATACTATTGATTGTTATATCAGTTTTACTTCTTTGGCAGTCGTCAAAAGTATGGTTAAATTTTACGCAAGAAAAATCTGGCATAGAAGGTAAAAATATACACGCCCACGTAAATGTCGTGAAAAATTAAGCGATTTAACTTTCGTTTTTTGACTTGTAGTTAATTACATTTATTTTGCTTTTATTATTTTGATGTAAATTTAAATAGTAAAGTAATTATTTTGATTGTAAGTTTGAATGTTGTATAATTGTAAATTATTCGCATAAATAAATAGTTGATGTATAGCATTTTTTGTTATTATATTGGCTTTAATAACGAATAAGTAGAATTATAATTTTAAATAAATTTTATCAAAATAAGTTGTAACTATATTTTTGCAAATGTAAAAATTATTTGATAGTATTATATCAACACAAAATAATAAATAAGTTTTTGGTTTCCATATCAATGGTTTAAATAAAACTTTTTATTCACAACCATGTAACTTTCTTGATTTTCTCGGATATCTGCTAAGTTTTGTATAGCACAGCTTCAGGACAACCAGTTGGTAACATTAAGCCAGAGAGATGAATGGAGTAAACAAAAAGTTCACATAGCCGTGTATTATGAGGCATTATGTCCAGATTCACGCAGTTTTTTTATAAAACAGCTACTGCCAACGTATCACAAAATTCAAGATAATATACAAATAGAATTAATACCATATGGGAAAGCTACGGTAAGATATTTCATAAAAAGAAAGGAAAATTGATAAATAATGTATTTTTTTTTTTAGTACTTATATATTGCAACATGTTAACCAATTTCCAACTCAAAAATTGTTTACTATATTATGCATTAGTACAACAAATAGTATACATAGAAATCTGTTTTCATCTGACTACAATGTAATTTTCTTACATACATATTAAGTTTTACATTGTAACTTATAATAATTTGTTCACAGAAAATAATATAAAAATAAAACAATAATTCATATATAAACAAGTAAAAAGTTTGTATTGTTACTTTTGACTTAAAAATCAATTAACATGACATTAAAAAATA